AATCAATATTATGCTAATTAACGGTAAATGTTTTGCGATCGACAGGAGGATGTGCTGCGATTGCAATGCTTGTGGGTCCGGACGCTGCCATCGTTTTTGACAGGAAAGTGCGGTCCACTTACATGTCGAACGTCTATGACTTCTATAAACCCGATATGAGTTCGGAGTACCCGACAGTCGACGGCCCGCTTTCCAACCAATGCTATCTCCAGGCACTCGACAAATGCTTTAAACTATATTTCGAAAAAGCAAACAAACTGACAAAAGGCACGTCTCTCGACACCTTTGACGCTATTGTATTTCACGCCCCGTATTGTAAACTCGTCCAGAAGTCCATCGCACGACTTCAGCTCCTTAATTATCTGCAGAGTTCGGACAATCAAAACAACGATTCATTTAAAGCACTGGAAAATTACAAGTCATAACTCAAATGATTAAATTTGTTAATTAAGTTTGTATTTTAATTATTTGTATTGATTTGTAATTATAGAAATGTAAAACTGGAGGAGACGTATAACGACAGAGAGTTGGAGAAACTTCTGTTGACTCTAAGCAAACGCACGTTTGAGCAGAAAACTGATCCGAGTCTGATGTTGGCGCGCACTGTCGGCAACATGTATACGGCATCTCTCTATGCATCCATCACTTCTCTGCTATTGAGGTAATCATTGGTTTCTATAGTGTTTGCATGATTTCAATTGAAAACTAATTAATAGTAATTAATGTATTAAAAACAGTGAATCGGCCGATAGTTTGGCGAACAAAAAGCTGCTGTTATTTTCATACGGGTCTGGTTTGGCCGCATCCATGTTCTCAGCGAGAGTGACATCGGATCAGACGGTACTCTCAAAACTGCTCAAAGGAATCGCTGATATTCCGAACCGATTGAGTCGTCGATCGAAAGTGTCGGCCGAAGTGTTTGAAGAAGCGCTGAATCTTCGAGAGAAGACGCATAACGTGGCGCCATATAAGCCGATCGGATCGCTCGACCAGTTAGTCGCCGGAACCTATTTCTTAACGGCTGTCAGTGAGAAATACCACCGAATTTATGAACGCATTTCCAGCGATGATTAGAAATAACACAAAATTTAATGAAATATACAAAGCATTCAACGAGTGTTTGATTAATAGTTTTTTAATATATGAATGAAATTTACATAAATAGTGATATAAAAGAGTTTTTTATGATATAATTTTTGAGTATATATTATATTATAATTATAAACGGTTTTAATCGTGTTATTAATTTAATTAAAAGACAAAGCAATAAAATATTTACTGTTATTTACCATAATATTATTTTCATTTTTTAAAATGTTTTTTGTGCCCATATTTTAGTTGACAAATGCTTTAAATTAAAAAATGAGTTTTTTATATAAAAGTAAATTTAAGAAAAATTGAATACCAATTGATTTGTAACACAATCAGTAATTTTCTAAGAAAATCATTAAACATTTTTATATATAACTAATTTTATTATAAAATAAAATATAAAATTGTTTAAATTATTTAAAGTCTAATTTAGATTAATATTTATTGTATTATTTAAATCAGTTTTAAAAAAGTATTAAATTTTATGAATTTTGGTTTTGAATATTTAAATTATTATTTGAAATAATTAATTATTAATTTTAATGTATAAATTTAAATTATAACTAACCATAAAATTATAACATTAATTTTATCTCAATTTTCTAACCAATTATTAATACTTTTCAATCAAATCCAGTGTTTTTACGTAACATTTAATTGATTTCCTTTTCGATCATTTCTTCATCTTTTTTATTGTTTACTATTTTTCATTTATTTAGTGATTGAATACATTTTGTGATAATTAACGAATTTATATGAATTATTTCCTAATAAATTATTTTTATTCAATTTCATCGTATGATTTAATTGCCTGTAATCACAGACTTCGCAATTGTAATTGTATTAACAAACACTAGTAATGAATCCAAAATGTATGTGAAGTGGGATATGACCGGGGATTTGGTATATTAGGGGTTATTTGCGATTATGTCCGGAAAGCCCTTTAAATAATATGTATTTTAGTTACCGACACAACTTATTGGACGCCCAATTGATCCAAAATCATTTCTTGTAAACATTCAGAAGTGACCACATCTGACCCACACTTGAGGATCGGAATACATGCCGGTATGAAAGCAAAGCCTAAGACCAAAGACATTGTCGTTCCTGTCGTGCATTTTATGAATGATAGCGAACACGTCATTAGCTTTTTAGTACCAATGCATTCAATTACAGTCCATGTCTTGCGTCCGAATTGCGTTAAAATTTTTATTAAACCAAACATGTAATCTCGGAATACACTATATTTTGGATA